GAGCTGAAGTCCCTCGGCCCTTAAAGGGGAAAGGTTGCCTACCCTTTGGTCTATAGAGTAGTGATTCCCAAACTCTGGCCTTCCAGGTGTTTTGGACCTTGGCTCCCAGAATCCCAGATCATTGACCAAGATGGCTGAAGCTTCTGGGAACTGAAGTCTGAAACACCTGGAGGATGAGAATTTGGGAATCACTGGTCTAGAGAAGTGATGGGGTCTACTTCTCTGGATGTCTTCAAAGAAAAGCTGGAGAGGTCTCTGCTTGGGATGCTTTAGCTGGAGATCATGCACTTAGCAGGAGCAGCGCTAGATGGCCCATGGGACCCCTTCCAACTCTAGGATTCTATGATGCTATGATTCTATGAGTGCTGCCTGGAAACCCTGGAGAGCCTTTACCAGACAGAGTTGGCAATATTGCACTACATGGACCAATGGTTTGACTCAGAATATATGTTTCCTATGTTCCTGTGGAGAGCCAGTATGGTATAGTGGCTTAGTGTTGGACTATGACTCTGGAGACCAGGGTTTGCATCTCTGCTCAGCCATGGAAACCCGCTTGGTGACCTTGGGCAAGTCACATGCTCTCAGCCTCAGGGGAAGGCAATAGCAGACCTCCTCTGAACAAATCTTGCCAAGAAAACCCCATGTTTGGGTCGACGTAGGGTTGCCATAAGTCAGAAACAACTTGAAGGCACACAATACACACATATTCCTGTGATGTCAACAGCAAGCTCAATGCCCTTGTATCCATAGGAGCCTATGGATGAATTGCCCCTCCCTGGCCTGACCATGGATGGCTGGTGCTTGGATTTCAGTCTGACAAACTGCAGACCAGTCTCCGTTAATAAGTGCAAAGGGGCTAATCCTCTTTCAGACCTGGTGTGACCCTAGTGACCTCTGAATCAGATTCCAGATCTTTACATAATTAATGCAGCATTTTGGAAACTACCGTAGTTAAGGTGTAATCCAACCATTTGCCTGGGTCGGGTGAGCTTTTCCTCCCTAACACCAGTGACTTTTACTATACTAAATTTATGCCTTATTTAGGCTTTTGTACTCTGCCTTGTTGTGTTGATTTAAAACTGTTGGTTGTCTGTTGCAGAGATATGATGTAAGGATGAAATACAAAAAGTACTGTATAGTTATAGGAAGTAGGAAGTCAAAGTCTGTTTTGGTTTACTGTTATGGATGATATCTTTTTGTTTTTGTGCTGATAGAGCTTATTAAAAATTTATTAGTTGCATGCATGTAGACAGCTTATATGCTGTTTTATATGTTATACTGGATGTTTTTAATAGAATAAATAAATAAAATAAACAATTAAAAAACTAAACTGTTGGTTGCCTTATTGTGAATGTAGTTTGTGTGGCTTGTTATGTAGCAGAAACAATGTTACAGAAGTGAAAATAATTTTTAAAAAATATGGTCAAACATGATTATTGACATTGATATCTAGTGTGATATAAATGAAACCCGCTAGCTGTTCATGTTCTTGATGATAAAGGTTGCATCTCCCTTATCCAAAATGCAAACTTCTATCCTCAAACAGGCTGTTCTTTTTATTTAGCCAGGCAAAGATGGAAAGCTGCCAATCTGTTATGCAAGATAAGCAATTTCTCAAAGGGTGATAGATTACATGAAAGCCTATGAAATATAGATGGATTAAAATTTAAGGAATGTCAGAAGTATTTACCTTGCATTAAGTGCCATAAATCATGCAATAATTTTGTTCTAAGTACAATGTGGACATCAAGAATACAATGCACTGCGATTCCAGTTTTACACTCCTTTTATACATTTTGAACCATGAGGAGGTCACACTGTAGAGGACTTTATACCTTCATGATGTAGGTAGGAGAAAAAGCGCTAAACAGGAAAACTGAGATATATTGTTTAAAAAGCATGTCATATAATGATAGTGTGTTTGTTGCATGATGGCTGGGTTCCTGCTGGTATTTTATACACACGCAGGTTCCCTTATTTTTTTGGCCATAGCTTAATGTCAGTAAAGTTTGAATCTCCCATATCTGGAATGTGGAAATCTGAAATACTCCAAAATCCAAAAATGTCCATATAGATGGCTGAGATAGTGACACCTTTGCTTTCTGATGGTTCAACGTACACAAACTTTGTTTCATACACACAATTATTTTTTTTTAAAAAAATTATATAAAACTATCTTCAGGCAGTGTGTATAAGATGTATATGAAACACAAATGAATTTCATGTTTAGACTTGGGTCCCATCTCCAAGATATCTCGTGATGTATATGCAAAAATTCCAAAATCCGAAACACTTGTGGTCCTGAGCATTTTGGTTAAAAGAGACTCAACCAGTATTCAGTTCACAGTTGTGTAAACAGAGTTCCCAAAGTGTAGCCATTTTTAATATTGTTGTGTTTTCTTTGATGGTGTGCAACTACACACAAGGACCATCAATGTGTACCCTTTGATTCACTAGGATTGTGGAAACAGCCAACATATTTGTAAATATGCAATTGGTTACACAATCTCTGGTTGAAGGGTAGTGTAGCACAATCACCACTTCATGATGTGAGTGTGGAATTACATGACACAAGTACAATGCAAAATCTCTCTTGATATGTTAATCCATTTATCTCTAGGACTCTTCAGGGATCGAATAGATCAGTTTATTTCTGGCCTCTGTCAGTTTCATAACTATTAATTTTTAAATCTCCTCAGTCCTGTTTCTCTATCATTCTGTTTGGGGCATTTTTTTAATGCCCCAAATTCTACATTGGTTTTGAATTTTTGTATGGGTTTTCCTTTCAAATTTACATTTTATATACACTTTGGTATATTTCTGCAAGCCTAGAACTATATCACAGCATTTAGAAAAGTACAAAAATGGAAGGGTAAACGTGTTCTGTTCACCAGCATGACAAAGTGGTTTGAATGTTGGACTACAAATCTGGAGACCAGGGTTCAAATCCCAACTCAGCCATCGAAACCCACTGGGTGACCTTGAGTGTCACACTCTCTCAACTTAAGAGGAAGGCAGTGGCAAACCTCCTCTGAACAAATCTTTCAAAGGAAACCCCATGCTAGGCTCACCATAGGGTTGCCATGTCCAAAATGACTTGAAGGCACACAAGAACAACAAACAGTGTTGTGATCTGAATATTACTCTGAGATGTACATATCTCGTTGGTTTGCTTCCAAGTGTGGACCCAACAAAATCTCTGAGTATCCTAAATGGAACTACTGTACAGTGATCCCCCCGCATTCACTGGGGTTAAGAGAGAAGAAACCCCATAAATGTGGAAAAAACACAAATAAAATAACACTATTTTTACCTAAGAGAACACCTCTCTATAACTCTCCACGTCTTCCAGTACAACTCTGGCCAGCATCTGCCAGAGGTTGATCATAGACTCATGCTAGAGGACCTACAAATGCTTA